GGTAAGGGAACCTATCTAAATATTTAAAGCGGCTGAGCAGAGTTTCTCTTGTGATGACAATCGCGGAGCTGGTGAGGAAATTTCTTGCCTGTTGTGGAACCCGAAGGTTCATTACCGTGTTCATATATACCCACCGCTGGATCGTAACAGCGTGTATCTTTAAGATGCATTTTAATATTTACCCCCGTCTACGCTTAGGTTTCCCATGTTGTCTGTCACCTTCAGGTTTTCTGATGAATGTTGTATATTGTTTATCTCCTACACACATCATACATGTCATGAACCCCAACCCTTCCTTTATTTTATCACCTAAATTATCTTTCGTGAAAAACAAGACTAGAAATTTTTAAGTTCCTCTTTATGAAACATTCTTCAGACTCCCGTTCCTTGTCTTAGGTGAAAATAGTCAATTCATCTATAGTTCTCAAACACTCTCATTCTATGCTCTTCCTTGAAGCGAGGGAGAGTTTCACACCTACCCGTACGTGAGAGGAACCACCTTGCGTTCCCGAAAACAGGTCTAAGTCTGAAAATCGTAAAGTCGAATTCATTATAACATACGATGCTGGAGCTCGGGGCCCAGATCCATTGTTACACATTTAACCTGTATTTTGCTAGTATAATTATAATTATTATATAACTAATGAAGGGAGATCAAGTACCATGTTAATAGCTCTTAATATTATCACGTATTTCGGGTTTGCGTGACGAATAATAATGGGTTTTGGATTTGATAATTGGATTTATTGGCTCTTCTTCACAGTCACAGTCAATTATAGCGCTATCGCTGATCTACCCACTTCGCCAGTCCCTAGGACATGCGCCATTCTCGTCCTTGTGCTCTCAACTGCGCCCACAGCTATTCTGGAACCTCTTTATATAGCCGTGACACGAACTACACAGATAACATAGCTTCTACTGTTGAAACGCCTTAGTTGATGTTCCCACATGATCGCTACCCAGCCAGTTTATTGGCTGCTGGCTGCTGCCTAGCGACAGTCCCACATTGTTGTCATGCACTTAAGCGGGAAGGTGTTTATCGCGCCGTTGTTTGGCAGTGGGTATACACGTTACAATATTAAAAGTAAGTTAATGTTTTTACCATGAGTCATGAAAAGTTACGATTCGAGCCACCGGAATGTGTACAAACTTTATGAATAATTAAGTTAAGAGTTTATCAAAGTCCGACATGTCCAACACGCCGTAGAATTTTGATAAGGAGCTCTTTATGGGGGAATTTAGAAGCGATTCAGCTTGGCAAAGTGATCGCTGAGGTCTGAACTCTGAATAAGTTGTACAAGTTTCGAAGTTCGGGTTTAGACTCGTGAGACCGAAAATGCGGGACTTAGAACTGTTCTATGTCCTTTTAACAGGGTCGTAAGTCCGGATATTCTTAACTTGTGACGTCATAAGTTTATGCTATACTGTACGATATTTTTCTTCGTATGATCAGTGGACAACAAATGTTGGCCCATTTAATCAGCTACACGAAATTCTGCTCCCCGACATTTCTTGACAAGAGAAACTGCGCTTTCCCATGTCTTTGTACGAGTAATTGCTCCTGACCAATCTGTTTACCATTGCATAACACAAAGACGTGTAACAGGCCGCTCCATATGCTGCACTGTAGTGTGTGTCCATACACGTTAACCTTTATACTTAACATTCACTGCTCTTATGGGTGCGTGGCGTTTTCCCGAAAGCCGAAGTGATGCCTAAGACTGCAAAAGTATACAGTAACGTAAGGTTGTCCCTGCTCTTAACTAATTAAGCATTACGCCATGAAGGCGTACGGGTGAGTGGATGTATAGATCCACATATTCTTGAACTTGGCACTAGTTGGAGGTGAGTGGTCAGCTTCACGTACCTGCCGCTTTACCCCCGGTACCCACTGGATAGGAGGTTGGGTGGACCCCAGAGCCAGTCTGGACGACTTGAAGAGCAGAAAAGTCTTGCCCCCATCGGGAATTGAACTGTGACCCCTCGATCGTCCATCCCGTAGCCAGTCGCTATACCGACTGCTCTATCCCTCTGCTCCAAAAAGTATACATAAACTTTAAAGGCAAAATGAGGTATGAATGGGATAAAGTGCAAAGAAATCTTCCGTTATAAAATAATTAAATTCACATGCAACGGTCCACTGTTTCGTTCTTACACTTCCTCGTATTACTGAGATGTTAGAACTCTATATACCTGTACTGGATGAACAAGTGATCAGAATTAAGGCTTCAAAGCTGTATTGTTATGGAATACTGCTTTAAAGGCATAAATGTAATCAGATAACTGCTCAGTCTAAACCGATTAAAGAACTATTTTTAGTGGATTGCGATTTGTTTCAAGAAGCCATATTTGATTATTGAAAATGCAGGCTCTGGAATTTACGTATAGCATCCTCTTGTTTAATTTTCTCGGAAATCTCAAGACTTGGAAAACGTATAGTTTGATTCAAAATTATTGTCGGGTTTTCCGTGACCTATAATTTTCAAACCGGAAACAAAAATATACAGCTGTTTATTGAATATGAAAGTAACTCAGAAAGTTTTATTACCTGTAGAATCACTGCTGCAGAATGCTAAAGAACTTCTATACGCTCGCCTTTTGTGACACGTAAGGTTTGAAAATTATAGGCCACGGAATCGCCGACAAAATTTAGAATCGTTCTGTATGTTGGATATTATGTACGTGGTCTGACAATAAAGTTCGTGAACTCATCGCGGTGGACGTGCTACATTCTTCATTTATAAATATCACTGTGGTCGCGTTCAAAGGAAGCTATGTACCGATGCCAGCGCCTAGTCCAACCTTCGAAACAATTTTGCAGTTGGTTTTGTGGAATGGCTTTTAGAGCTGCCGTCCTATTACACCTGATGTCATCAGTTTCATCAGAATGTCCTCCTTTCAATATTTCCTTTATCTTTGGGAACAGAAAAGTCACGGGGGCTAGATTCTGTGAATAGGGAGGGTGTTCCTGCACAGTTGTTGTTTACTAGCTAACAACTCTCGCGCAGACAATGCTCTAATTCAAGCTCCTCCATTCTCGCGACGGCACACCAAAACACACTCAGAAAGAGATGCCATAGATCAACAACAACACTGCCGTGAAACGCAGATTTGCCAAAGTCATCAAACCATACTGAGATTTCTGTCCACTGCTGTCACGGCGGCAAACACACGGTGACTAGTTCACGAACTTTATTGCCAGACCTCGTTCATTCGTCTCTATAATGTTTGTCTGAAATATTTAGCGAGATATCACAGAAATACGGGGTGTGTTTGCATATAAAGTGGTCGTTAAAACAGTCAGATCTGAATGAAAATGCAAGTAGCCGGACAGTGTTTTTATAGTAGTTTCCAATATCAAATTTCGCAAATATCCGGCCATCCTTTCTCTGGCGGTTTCATATGTACTAACGCACGGAGGACGCGGATGAACCAATCCGCAAGGTTGCGAATGCGCCAGAAAGAAAACGAGAGAGGACAATTTCGTATGCCTTGATACTGAGTAGTTTTCTCCTCATGGACAAACACATGGGGGGATTTGCTGAGCCCTCTATACGGTTCATTATTACATATTCTGTTTGCCCTTCATTTCCTTCTAGGTGAATATGAAACCTAGAATCTTCCGTACGAGCTGCTGCTAGGATAAAAAGGCACTGTTTCTCAGTAATTAGAGAGTAGCTCCGACGCCTGCAAGAAGAATACAGCCCTCGCTCCGAGCAGGCTAAGTGGATTATAGATTTTAGGCAGGCTTATTTTTTAACTCGCTGGGTTCGTACAATATGACACCAATCCAGAGGCTATAATTAGATTCTTCCTCCCAAGAATAACAACACACATTTCACTCTGATTTTCCGGTTTATGATACCATTTAACCGAGTAGGCTAGTATAGCGATAGCACTGTATATTTGTATTTGGGCAATGTTCAGTTCGAATCTCGGTCGGAACACCGGCTCTCCTGACTGGGGTTTATCATGGTTTTCTTCAGTCCTTCCACAAAAATTCCGGGGTAGAATATCGATTAGGCTACTACAGCGGTCTTCCAAGTTTAATTTCCAGTTCCTTTGACGCTAACGATTCTACGAACCAGTTTTATATAAGCCGAGCTTCTGGTAGCGTTGCTAAATAAACCGTAAACACATAAATAAGCAGACTGGTAAGTAAGGCAGCGTACTCTTAAATGAAAAGATTTTAGTGTGTTTTGTTAAATACCTATTAATGCAGCAAACGTGTGTAGTACTGCACCTTTACTGCCCCCCCCCCCATTACGATTTCATTGCATGCTGTTTAAACGCAGGGACAACTTTACCTACTAGTGATATGTCTGTTGAAATTTCAACGGGAAAATTTGACGTTTCCGAGTTCTAGCCACTGTTTCCATGGATAATCATTCCAATGACCCGCTATTATACATGATAACTCTTGAGCGACAATTTGAAATCATGGACTGAATGTGCATGCTGTAACGTAACGTAGCCTTAAACCGTATAATCTTTTTATATATGTATATACAGGCTGGTCCATGTTAGGTGGGTCCCTTGTCACCACGGCATGGCGCGTCCTCAGGTTGCGGATGGAGGAGACGCCCTCCAGGTATGGAGGGTAGCTGCGAATATATTGAATAGACAATCGCAGACAGTCGACAAGGGGTGGTCATCCAGCTTGGGGCTGGGCGTGGGGGCTACAAACTCCTCACCATAAAATATAAGCTTCTTACGATAATTATCAAGAAGTCTTGGACCTGGACGGATTCCTTGGATAAACGACCTAAGCGAAAGAAAATGCATATCTGGCTCAGGATAGAGACCAGTGGAAGGCTCTTGTGAACACGATAATAAACCTTGGGGTTCCATAAAATGTTGGGAAGTTCTTGAGTATCTGCACAAGTGGCAGCTTCCAAAGAAGGGCTCAGCTCCATAAGTGAGTGATAGAGGCTGGTAGACAAGCAGCGACTGTGTAACTGAGTGTAGGAAACTGACGAGCTGCCTTCTGCGTGTTTCAGGTTCTGCTGGCGTTTGGAAAGGAAGACTTCCAAAGTGATGCATTTTGGTTGGCGTGTGAGAAGCTGGGATATGAATGCAATTTGGCAAGAACTCGAGATTCTGTGTTAGAAGCTTTCCAAACCAAGAGTCATGAGATTGTCATCATAGATACTAGGAATCCGAAGGTCATTGACGGCGAATCATTATGCAGGTAAGTCTACGAATTTATTCGATCTTATAATATATTAGTTAAGGGAAAATTATCTTGCAATCCGTATTCATAATTACCATTGTTTTATGCATTATATGTTATAAGTAGTCAACTCGTCTTTATCATTTCGTTATTTTGGTGAAAAACTTATTGAAAGGATATTTTTTCTTTATGTGTGAAAAATAACATTTCAGAAGAAATACGTGGTACAGTCATTCATTTCGTGGACTGTGGTTTTATCGCATCATATTATAGGTATTCACATACACTTACACAGATCCTCATTGACCCTCAAAATAGTTGTCGTTGGCCGTTATGCATGTCTGCCAACGTTGATATAGCTGCCGAGAACAGTGCTGAAACATACTGGCAGGAAATTCCCGTACGGCGTCTCTTGTGGCAATGACGACCTCCTCGGACGACTGAAACCTACGAGCACGCAGCTTTGCTTTCAAGCGGTGAAAGAGAAAGAAATCGCATTGTGCGAGACCAGGTGAGTACGGAGGGTGTGGCAAAACGGTGACCTGTTGCCTTGCCAGTTCCTCTTGGACAAGAACAGAACGATGTGCAGGGGCGTTGTCGTGTAGCAGCAGTCAATTCTTCCTACGCCAAATGTTTCGCTAGGGGATTTGCCTAGTTTCAGGCAGAGCTTGATGTTTACCCGTTGTTCAAACTGCAAAATTTTCAATTTGCGCCACTCGCATATAACTGCAGTTCACAATAGAGGCCGTAGTTCTGCTTACACTGCTTGCACACAACTGCCTCTTGCTGTGACGAGAGATGAACCGACAGGGCATCATATCGTGCCTCAACCTAACCGCTGTAGTGCACTGCAACGACGCTTTGCAGCCAGTCCAGGAACCAGCTGTTGTGTTAACCTTGAGTGTCTTGTGACGTCAATAGCTTGCATCACGTGACCAGTATCACTCCTAACAAAATGGCTGACAACGATATGTTGTTTCGCCACCGTGCTGGCATCGAATTTCTTGTGAAAGAGGAAATCCCTGCTGCAGAAATTCACCAGAGACTTCAGCGTGCTTATGGAAGTGTGTGCATGGGTGCGAGCAGTGTTCGAAGATGGGTGAAACATTTTAAAGATGGCAACACCAGCATCGAAGATGAGCCTCGGAGCGGGCGTCCTCGAACAGCCTCAACTGAACGCAACAAGGAAAGAGTGGATGAGATCATTCAAGATGACAGGCGTGTGACTGTGGACACAATAGCCCGAAAACTTGGAATAGGGTACAGTGCAATACGGGAAATGATTGAAAGCTTGGGCTATAGGAAAGTTTGTGCTCGTTGCTCGTTGGGTACCGCGGTTATTGACCGAAGACCACAAAGGTCAGTGAGAAGCCATCACCTCAGAACTGCTGCAGAGATATCGACAGGAAGGCGATGATTTTTTGCTCTGTATTGTGACAGGTGACGAAGGCTGGTTTCACCATTTCGAGCCTGAAACGAAACGACATAATATGGGATGGCACCATTTGCATTCTCCATCAAAAAAGAAGGCAAAGACATGCCATCAACTGCGAAGGTGATGGGCACGGTCTGCTGGTATGGAGTTTATTCTGGCCGAATTCCCGGAACCTGGGCAAACCATCAGTGCTGCTCGTTATGTCTAGACGATGCACAAGCTCCGTCATGCATTGCGTGATAAACGTCCGGGACGAAACATAAGCATCCTGCATGAAAACGCTCGCCCCCACGGCGCTCGCCTCACATTGGAAGCATTTGCAAAGATGGGGTGGGAAGTTCTTCCACACCCCTCCTATAGCCCTGATCGGGCACCCTCCGACTAACATCTTTTCGGATTTGCAAAGGATCAGCTGCGTGGGCAACGTTTTCAAACAAGGGAGGCAGTTCAGAAAGCGGTGCGTCAGTGATTTGCAAAGATGGGGTGGGAAGTTTACAGAAGGGGAATTTTCAAACTCCCAGAACGCTGAGAGAAATGTGTACAAAGAAGTGGCGATTATGTGGAGAAATAAAGAAAGGTCTGTAAATTGAGGTGGTGTATTTGGTTTGTCAATAATAAAGCATGCTACTTTACAAAATATTGTTGCTTATGACTTTCAGTACGACCTTCATATTTATAAGAGATTTTTACGTAATTCAGCTTGTAGAAAGTTTGACATGTCTGTTGTAATTTTAATATTCGATTAAATTTCAAACTCCATAAATTTAAAAGACGAATCATTTACGGAATTAAACTTGTAAGTAAAACTTTCACAGAATTACGTTGAGTAGATGAAGGGAAGCATCGGTTTGACTGGCATAGTATCTTCGAAACTAACCATATAAATTTCACTTTGGAGTTAGGTTTATACTCCTAAACTTTGACAGCCGGGATAGCGACTGGCTATGGGCTCTACGACCGAGGAGTTGGAATTCGGGTCCCAGTAAGGTCAAGAATTTTCTCTCCTCCACGTCGACCAGACCAGCTCTGGGGCCCACCCGACCTCCTTTCCAATGGGTACTGGGGGGCTCTTTCCCAGGGGTTAAAGCGACCGGGGCGTGAAGCTGACCGCTCACTTCTAACTGGTGCCGAGGTAAAAAAACATGGATCTGTACATCCACTCACCCATATGTCTTCATGGTGTAGTTAGGCACAGAGACAGCTTTACTTCTCTTTACTCACAAACAAAATGGACGTTCTTTCGCCGGGGGGGGGGGTTAAAGCGGCTGAGACATGAAGATGAACACTCACCTCAATCTAGTGCCGAGGTTACGAATCCTCCGCTCCTCCATACGTCTCTGTTGTGTTATGCGTTTTAAGCAAGAATAAATTGACCTTTACCCCAAGTATTGTTATAGCATTTATTGACTGACGCAAAGTTACTGAAAAATGCCTGAAGTAGCGACGCTACACTCAGCCGGTCTGACTGGCCATGGGGCGTGATCGGGATTCGATTCCAGTCAGGGTCAGAATTTGTATTTATCACATCCATACCCGCTTTGTCTACCGCACAGCGTCCTGTTCTTTCCCGGGAGATTAATTTGCCGGAACGTAAAGTCAGCTATTTACTTCGGTTTGGTGCCATTGCTTGGATGCATTGAACTTAGCTCCATGTCCTGCATTCGACTCATTTATTGGTGTTTAGCCAAACGAGTAAGTTGCGCCAATAACTCAGAATGGTAAAGTGGGTAGGAGATGTTGCTTCCACCGGGCTGAAGAGACCCTCTGTCGAAAGCCGAATCAGTTGATGATTGTCCATGGCGATGTGGAGTGGAGGAGGGAGTGTCTTGTATCGAGGCACTCTCCCAGCAATCATTCAGGGGGACAGGGAAACTACGGGAGTAGCTAGTCAGGAGAGTGGTGCTTCAGTCGAGAATCCAATTCCGTACTTCCCTAATATAAGTCAGATGGGTTATCGTTGGTCCTATTATTCGGTTAATGGTGGATATTCTATCGTACCTGTATCATTCGAAAGTAAGTTGTATACGTCACTGCTGCCGCAATCTGCTCTGAGTGATACGGCTTAGAAGAGGTAAATTTCATGCCTTTGACATACTGCAAACATAATAAACACTAACAGCTGCTGTCGACTCTTGGAATTGTGTTCCAGACACTGGTCCAGTTCTGTGACTTTGACACATACCGGACGTCATATTACGTCATATTAGATTTGTATCTCTTTGGAGTTGTATGTCAGAGAGTTGTGTGTGTGTTTGTGTATATATACTCGTATATATATATTGTTTTCCTGTTTTTGTTTTTTTAGTTTCTTTGGGTGGGGTGAGACTGAGCCCACTTAGTACGTCGGCCACTAATTGGTCTATTGTACCAGCCCCTGATGATAGATGATGAATGTGGAGCAGTTGGTTGAATGAGAATTAGCAGGGGAAATAGAAGTACTCGGAGGAAATCTACTCCAGTGCCACTTTGTCCACCACAAATCTCACATGTCCTGACNGGAAACGCTTCTTTTTGGCACTGAGGATTACAGAAGTTTCCGAGAGGCTGCATAAGTTTTACGAGATGTTATCGTTGTTTTACATTATAAAGTTGTTCAAAATGGCGGCAGAGAACTTCATTGCATGTTCTGCACCGCCTGGTCGTGTTCCCGGCATTTCTCGGTTGGTTCCAGCTGCTACTGCAATTCTTGCCACAAGATCATGTTGTGTCTGCATTGGAATCTCGTACACCAGTCTTTGCATGTACCCCCAGAGAAAGAAATCCAATGGAGTCAAGTCAGAGGAGCGAGGGGCAGGTTACTGGGCCTCCACGTCCAATCCCTCTGTTGTCAAAGGTTTTATCTAAATACTCACGGACGACATTAGTGCAGTGTGCTGGGGTGCCATCATGCTGGAACCACATTTAACGACGGACTTCCAAAGGCACCACTTCCAACAGCTTGGGTAAGGTCTCTTGGGGGAAGTGTTAGGTAAATATCACCAGAAAGCCACAGAGGTAAGAGGTAAGGGCGTCCTTCTTCACATTTCAGAGGCCCTAGTGCTCAAAGAAAGCGTTTCCGGACATGGGTGTATTAACATAGTATGATCAGACTGAACCCATCAATCTACCGCAGAGCTTTGTAACATATATTTATTTACATCCTGTATATGTACACCGGATAAGCGGATTACAAGTAGAACATCACTGAAGTTCTGTGATCGCAAGCGTGTCTATGATCTTACGATATTACATGCCAGGGTTTGGGCATCCTAAAATTGACTGTGATCGTCAAATTCACTGGTGTCCCTGTCGAGGCTAGTTAACCACCACTACTTCAGATTGCATAAGCTACCATTGATAACGGAGATGTTTGACTGTTCTTATCTCTGTAATATCTCATGTTATCTCTGATGTGTAAGATCGAAATATATTAAGTGGGCCCCTTGTCACCACAGCATGGCGCATCCTCTTGTTAGAGAATGTTGTTCCAAAAGTATAAAGGGGCTTCATGTACATTGAATAAGCATTCGCAAACAGCCGACAAAGAGTGGTCCTCCTGCTCGGGTGATTGTTGTAGAATCTGCTCGCCTTATTGTTTCGAAATGTTGCATGACACCTTGAACGTCTTCGGACCAGTGATTGGCTCTTGTAAGCACGGACGCAATATAATGCGGCGAAATTCTTGATTAACCGAACAACTGTTAGCTTCACAGGCAGGAGTCAGTTAAGAGCCGAGTGTACAGAGAAACTGCAAACGGATCTATATACCAGTTAGTGTGTTCAAGCAACAACGCGACAACTCGGCTTGTCTTAGATAGTGGCCCGATTCGAATCTCAGTTGGGACATCGAATATCCCGATTGAGATATCCCTCGAAGCAGCCTTCCAGATATTACCTGTGTGGGAGCTCCCCACATTCATGTTTTCTATATGTCCGACTCTAGGCTACATAAGAAGATACACTGAGTTACAGTTACGGTTCTAGACCTGTACGTAGTAATATCCAGGTGTTCACCTTCAGTGTGCTACTACCGCGTCCTTCCCTTTTCTTGCCAATTCATGACGTTCATGACTTCACCGGTCATCTTGCCATTCCTTCGAGAGCATCGTTGAATAAGCAACAAACGCGTCACAGAAGTAAGGCTGTACAGCCCTACCAACTTAGTATGAAACCAGACAGAACTTGGTGTCTAATGCAGTAACTAGCGCGGCTTGTGTCCATATTTCTACTATTCAGTCAGCGATGCTCACCTTCTCCATTTTTTGAAGCCTGTCTATGGCCCACGTTTTTTTTCTTGGTATCTCCATGTATTTGTACAATCAGTCCATTATGGACTATAAGTACACCTTATGCGATACTTAATCTAAAGCTTAAATACTAGGAGAGATCCTGTCGGGGAGAGTAATGCTTCAGTGAGCATTCTCTACGGATCTATTTCGAGTGTGACTTTGTTATTTTGTGTATTGCATTTATATGAAGCGCGTCGTTAGGTCGTTTGGTTTATGCATTTTCAGTCTTCTGGGCTCGTCTGCATCGTTTAATAGTGTGGTTGCCAGTTCATTTGGATGTGCTATTATCTTGTATTTGTATTTACGGCTGATGTTTGTGGTTTCTTCCCGTACTGTAGATATGCCTAGATCGGCGTGTAGCAGTCTGTTTGGGACGTACCACGGTGCATTGCCTATAGCGCGAAGTACTTTGTTTTGAAACCTCTGTAACATTTCTATATTGGATGTACTTGCAGTTCCCCATAATGGTGCTCCGTAAGTCCAAATGGGCTTCAGTATTGTCTTGTAAACTAGGAGTATGGCCCACGTTAAGACAATTATTTTTCTAATTCCCAAGAGGCTTGAAAAGTCTCACTCTTCTCATCCTCATTTGAGAGGTATTTAGTTCGAATCCCTCTGTCTTAAGTCAAAACTTTCCTCTGTGAGCCTTCCAGGTAAGTTTCGCGATAATTTTTCGAGGTCTGTCAGTATCCCTTTCTTGTGGATGGCAGTTCAGAATATTCTTTGGAAATATATCATCAGATGAATTTTCTTTAATATTTTCTGTTCTCAGAATTACTGAATGTTTGGACTTTATCTATCGTCTTGCATTCCAGAAACTAGAAAAGACAACCTTTCGGAAACTGTTTCCGTTTCCGTCCTCAGGTGATTGGGGACACCTACTCTGTTGGGTCCATTGGAAAGAGCTGACCTCAATCACTGGGCAGTTGAAGTCAGCTCTTTGTAAGGAACCTAACCTCGGTCACTGGACAACTGAAGTCAGCTCTTTGTAAGGAACCTAACCTCAGTCACTGGACAGTTGAGGTTACCTCTTTCTAAGGGACCTAACCTCAGTCACTGGACAGTTGAGGTTACCTCTTTCTAAGGGACCTAACCTCAGTCACTGGACAGTTGAGGTTACCTCTTTCTAAGGGACCTAACCTCAGTCACTGGACAGTTGAGGTTACCTCTTTCTAAGGGACCTAACCTCAGTCACTGGACAGTTGAGGTTACCTCTTTCTAAGGGACCTAACCTCAGTCACTGGACAGTTGAGGTTACCTCTTTCTAAGGGACCTAACCTCAGTCACTGGACAGTTGAGGTTACCTCTTTCTAAGGGACCTAACCTCAGTCACTGGACAGTTGAGGTTACCTCTTTCTAAGGGACCTAACCTCAGTCACTGGACAGTTGAGGTTACCTCTTTCTAAGGGACCCAACCTAAGTCACTGGACAGTTGAGGTTACCTCTTTCTAAGGGACCTAACCACAGTCACTGGACAGTTGAGGTTATCTCTTTCTAATGGACCTAACCTCAGTCACTGGACAGTTGAGGTTACCTCTTTCTATGGGACCCAACAAAGTAGGATGGGAACAGACCCAGTAATTCTGTGTTATGCACCATCGTCAGAACTCTTTAGAATCTACGTGTTCTGTTCTCTTCAATGTCTACACGTTTTTTTATGTATTTTATTCCAAATATAAACTGTGTACATGTTCTCTAACTTTATTCTTCATCATGGTCAGGCCGGTTCATATTCTTTCCTTCTTCACACCTCTTTATTAAGTAAGCTGTTGCAGTTAAGTGATTGTTGAATAAAATTTCAAGCCATTTTGTGACAGTTCTTCTTCTGATTCTCTGAGATTCATTTAACTTGCAGTGCAACTTAAACACTAGGAAAATTTTTTTCCTTGGCACTACAGCCCCAGTGGGCCTAGGCCTACCTCCATGAACTTCTCCGTTCACTTCGGGTTTTCTAGATCTTACACATTTGGTAGGACTCCTTGGGCGGGTGATCAGCTCGTCACAAGGCCTCTACCTGTACACAAACACAGAAAAACGCACACAAACATCCATGCCCTGAGTGGGATTCGAACCCACGATCCCGGCTTCCGAGCGAGCGAAGACTGTATGACTAGGAAAATTATCTTTCTCTATTTCTCTTATTTTTATCGACATTCAATTAATGAAATTACTTCAAGTGTAGAGCTTCTGCCCTAACACATCTCTGTTCAATTTTCGTCTTCATTCCCCGGAATTTACACGACTGTTATTCACTGTACACTATTCCCTTCCTGTCTTCTGCCGTATCTGCGAGCGAGTGTTATTTTTTTCTGATGAAGCATTGACTTTCACCACTCCTGTATGCAGAGGCCAGTCTCTTCATTTTGTTCTCTATTGAATTCTGATATAAAGAGTAGCGAAAATAAATATTCCTGAATGAAAGGATATTCCAATTGAGACCCTTCCATTGTGTGCCTCACAATATTTCAATAATGTTGGCTGAAGAGACGTCAGGCGTGCGGTTAATTAATTCTAGGGGAATATCTGTTATGGCCACAAACCATATCTCGCATTGCTGAAATAAGCAGTCATCTCTTACACATTCTAACTAACGAACTGTGCATGTATGTTTCCACTTAAAATGACATAAAACTTTTATTCCGCTGTAGATATTTCTGGCCTGCTTTCTTAGTTTGTGTTCATGTGCATTTGAGCAAACTGGCTAATATTCATGACATCTGATATTATAGCTTATGGATCCGTTGCTAGACAACGACTGCGAAACAAACAAGACAAACAGCCGCTGCTAGGCAGCCACCAGCGCACCAATGGATTGGCGAGTAGGGATCACGTGGTAACACGAACAGACATGAACACAACAATGGTACACCAACATTGGAACGGTGTTTTCCATGTAAATATTATTCCCCTCTTGTATTATGCTCCTTCACTAAACCATCTTAATAATATTTGGAGAAGAATACAAATTATGATGGTCCTAATTATATAATTCTCTCTGATCTTTTGTTACTTAATCTCTCCTAGTTCCAAAGTTCGCCTTCTGAACTTTGTTCTCACAAACACTCTAATCTTACTCCTCAGAGCTAGAGAACACGTTTAAACCCATTAAAGACAACACCTGAACTCATTGTTTTACTGAAGTCGTGTGAGTAATCTGTTTAAATCCTGTGTTTTTTTTTTTTGTGATAATTCGTAACATGCTAGTGTTTGTGTGGGGGAAGGGCGTATTGCATTTGCCCAACTTCCAAGATGGGGGATCATTCTTCGTCGGCTACCCGAAACTTAGCCTCCTTTCATATTTGGAGGTCGGCTTCTCCACCAACAACCTCAGAACGAAAAACATTTGAGACACTAGGCCCCCTTTCACTTTTCCCTTTGCCTCACAGAACTGTGAGAGTTCGCTTATCTGGCGTGTGGAGGCCATTTCAGTTGTAAGACAGATATCCAGTTATAGCTCAGAAGAAGAAGAAGACGAAATTTGAAATAAATTAGGTTTAAATCTTAGAGTTAGTGAGCCGGGATAGCGCAGCCGGTATAGGGACTGGCTACGGGCTGGACGGCCGAGCGCTCGGCGTTCGATTCCCGGTAGGGTCAAGAGTTTTCTCTTCTCCACGTCGTCCAGACCGGCTCTGGGGCCAATCCCGCTTCCTATCCAATGGGTACCAGAGGCTGTTTCCTCAGGAGTAAATCGGCTGGAGCGTGAAGCTGACCGCTCACCTCCAACTAGTGCCGTGATAAAGAAATCGTGGATCTGCAAGTATACATCCACGCCCCCGTACGTCTTCATGGTGTAGTGCGTAATTAGTTAACTACAGGGAGAACTTTAACTTTTTTTTTTTTTAGAGTTTAAAATCGTGACTCATGCTTTTGTTTCAGGGCCCTTCGCGCTTTGAAGACGTCTCAGTACACAGTTGTTGTTGGAGTCGTACGGAAAGGGTGAGTGTCGCTCTTCTGCAGTACTTCCCCTACAGGATACAAACGAAACGAATCTACCGAATTGAGATTCATCTTATAAAGACGACTGTCCGAAACTCTTTCCATTTCTCAACATAACGTGTCCAGTTCATTTTACTTTCCTGTTTCACATTAGACATTTTATGGAACCCGAAGATTCGTTACCGTGTTCACAAGAGCCCTCCACTGGTCCCTATCCTGAGCCAGATCAATCGAATCCATACCATCCCATCCTATCTCTCTAAGATCCATTTTAATATTGTCCACCCACATACGCCTTGGTCTTCCCAATGGTCTCTTTCCTTCTGGCTTTCCCACCAATATCCTATATACATTCCTCGTCTCCCCCATTCGTGCTACATGCCCTGCCCACCTCATCCTCCTTAACTTGATCATTCTAATTATACTTGGAGAAGAATATAAGTTATGAAGCTCCACATTATGCAGTTTTCTCCAGTCTCCTGTCACTTCATCTCTCTTCGAACTAAGTATTATTCTCAACACCCTGTTCTCAAACACCCTCAGTCAGTGTTCCTCCCTTAATATCAGAGACCAAGTTTGACACACACACAGAATGCTTGAGTAGCTACAGAATTGGCGGAACTTTAAGAAGGGTTCAGTTCCATGAGTAAGTACGAGTAAATAAGTAAGTAAGTAAGTAAGTAAGTAAGTTACACATTAGGCACTGTTACAGCATTTCATGTGGAAGCAGAAACAAGAAAATTGATCTGGATTGAAGTTTATCTATGAGGATTACATTTTTCTGGCATATGTGTATGATTCCGTGTAGGATGGTCTACCTCATTCCACGGCGTAATATCCCAGTAGACAGTCATCTACAGCCACCGACTTAGGAATCCGAAATCTCACGAAGTTTGTCTAAGTAACAGGTTTTGCGAACTTCTTATATGCCAACTGTCTGGTAGAAAAACTGCGCTCTGGAGCTCAAGTGTTGAGATGGATTTTGACTATAGATTTCTCAGCGCCATGTGTCACTGAACTTAAATTAATTCTTTGGGGGAGAGGGGTTATTGCAGGCTGAGGCTATTTTGAAGTGCGTACGAGCAGGAGAGCCTCTCACTTACCTCGTTATTATGTTGCCGGAAATTAATTAAACACGCTTCTGTACTGATTTTTTTCCTTGGCCTTTTCGGATTGATGAAAATTCAGAAACAGTGGAACTTCTTTTCTTCATAAGACTCCTTGTGTAGGGGATTAATTATATTCTTGTGCGTTAATTTTCTTGCAGCACCTCCGAAAAAGAAGATTCAAGTATCGAACCGATGCTCAACATGGGATTCAACAGGGTGAGTGAATGACCGCTTATTTTATTTTAGTCCAGGTGAAAGCGGTAATTATGTGTAATTACCACGTGCTAACGTGAATAATGCGAAGGATTCAGAAATTGTTATTGCGCAGGGGTTTTCTGCAGTTACGTCTGACGCCCATTGTGTGAGGCATTTAAAAGAACAAATTCCGCGATTTTAGTCCGCAAGCGAACTATACCGACCGAGCGACCGCCGCTTGTCGCCGAAGCTAGTACCAACTTCAGCGGATAGAGGGTGTTGCGTGGTCAGCGCAACGAATCCCCACGGCCGTTAATTTCGGTTTTATAGACCGCAGCAGCTGGTTCCTTGAAATAGCTGCTCAGTTATCCTGACTAGGCTGAGAGGACCCCGTTCCAGACCAACTACTACTCATAAAATCTGGTAGCGCCGGGAATCGAACCCGGACCTCTTGCTCTGTAGCCAGGAACTGTGACCACTACACAGAGGCGGTCATTTTTAATGTACATGACGTTTCGAGAGCTGTTCTCCCATATTCATGTGGCTGTATGTCATTATACTGACAGATGTATTTTATTGTTCTCATTTTATATTACAGACTCGTGGTTTTACCAATTTTCTTCAGATTCAGCCCTCACCTCCTTTATAATAACACAGGAACACTCGGTACGTGGAAGTGGAAGCAAATTTACGTGGTAGTTCCCTTTTCTGGAAAACACCGGGTAACGCGATTGCATGTAACTGGAAATTGCATCTCAAATAGTAGCTGAGCGCTCTCAAATTATTCGGTCGGTATTGAGCATTTCCTTTTGTTCATGGTCGGTATATGAATTGTGAAATCTGAAAGTTCTCAATTCAGCAAAACTGGGACGTTTCTGTGGTAGACGTACTTTTCGGCTGGTCATTGCTAGCCTGCATGTCCAGTACATAACTTTGGCTCTTTTCTGTTATGAATGTCGGGGTCAGAAATATGGGTAAGTCAGAGGCATGAAGGGGTCAGAGACGCTCCGCTCTGGTAAACCGGCGTTGCCTTGGAAACGACACCTGTAGAGCAGGGATGAATCGAACGCAGTGAACAATACATCAACGTCAGTTTACAAAAGTAAACTTTATACTTTTTCAATTATGAAACTTCTCTACACGCAACGATGTGTGTGTATATATATGCACATAAGAATTACAATATATATCAGTAGTGAAATATCCCAATGTCTAAGCACCACTACATTTAAGAAAACAGGGCGAGTGCAAGAACCCCTTTTTAATAAAAATGGAGAGGTTTTCCATCACACAAACAAATGTTTTAAATTTAATACGCTTGTATTTTTTTTTTTTTTTTTTTGTATGTAATAGGTCACTAAGTCGGATCCTGCCCGATTTAACTAACAAATTTTCAGATATGTACTAGAATTTATAGAATTCCGACATCATTGTGTACTTCTCACGTATCGCCTGTCGAAGAACTGTCTGGGCCTAAGCATGTTCTGAGTGAAGCAATAAGAACATTTGCCTGTGTAGGGCGAAGTTTCGCCGCTTTTATTTGTAAACACCACAGAAAAATTATGAACACTGCAAGGTTACGAAAAGTCCTGGCGTGTGAATGATGTGTCAGCTTCACGTTTCGGCCATTGGACCAGGAACTCCATACGACCGAGAGTGCGGGCGAATTGGACTGCCTTACTGACAGAGTTGTCATCTCCTTTAATACGTTATGAGGTTGCGTGACATCCAAAGCTGAATGTACGATTTGAGTGAAAACATATTTTAACCTTCCCTTTGTCATTTGACTTGGCTAGGCAGAGAGTACTGGTAATTACACCGAATAACCGAAATTTAAATAATAGTAATAGTCGCAGGCAAAGGAAGAAGAGAAAGAAGCGCAGGGCCAGCTTAAGCCAAAATTCCTTTCCTCCCCCCCCAGGCAATGAAAAATTTCTCCGACCATTCTCAGGTAAATACAAATCAAATTTCTTTTAATTTCATCAAGATTAATAAAACGAAAGTACCAGATATGAGACGAAAATCATCACTGGGTTCGCAATTCTTAGCAGGTTTGTGTGTATGTGTAAATTGCTGACAATTAATAATCACGATGTTGGGAAAAAAAACGATCAGCAGAAGTTACATTTTTAATTAACAGAAATGAGGAAGATAAAGGAAGAGGGTTAAAACGTGCCGCCCCAGGTTGCCTCTTCGTTCGCTTGCACTGCCTTTCAGAAGCGAATTCGTAATCGAAGGATAAAGGAGTGGATCAAAAGAAGATGAGAACTGGATGTTCACATAATTCGCATGGAACATAAAAGGATGCTCCTAGACAGAGCTTCTAAAGGAAGCTTCAACGTAAGACAGACGTGCAGCGTTCAAACGAAAATGAATGGATTACGCAGAGGCAGAGAAGGGGGGGGGGAAGGGGGCGCACGTGGAACGTAAGAGGATTCTTGGGATATTCGGAAACAGAGCTCCAGAAGGATAAGGCAATTTTGACGGCCGAAGAAACTGTGTAGTTACAGAGTGACGGATAGGTTACCAGTGCCCTTAGACCGGCTTTTTTTCTTGTGATGTTCATCGTGGGTTTGCCCACGTGGGCAAATCCACGATGTCGTGGTTGAAACCCCTTTTTTCCATTCATTTCTACCAGGGAATCTGACCTTGAAGGTTTTATCATAAACATGTTTCGGTATCATTTTGTCAGACCCATCTGTAGGATGGGTTCCTTCTCCATGTCCAAAACCTTCAGATTTGTGTTTCCATTGGTCATTGCAATCTAGTCTGTAATTTCCTGCCTTGGCCTCCGCTTCCACCTGCAGGTGTAGTGGGGGGAGTCCAAGGAGCACTTCCATTGCAGTTGTTGGAGCAGACCATTCTTTGAAGTTTGCTAAGTTCCGCTTGACCTGTTTTGAGTTTAACTAGTGATGGAGATCTATGAGGTCACCACCCATAGCGCCCCATACAGGTGGAAGGCATAAATACAACGGGGTGCTGCCTGGTGTACCGAGGGGATCATTCAGGACACTGTCTAAATTCCACCCCAGTGCCACGCAGCCCTCGGCATAATGCCTCACATCTTGGTTTAGATTGTTCGGTCCTGTTGAGAATATACCCTCACAAGCATCCAGGACCTAAAATATACGTTCGGGGGAGGGGTATCCCAGGTGAGCAGTGGGGTTGCAATACTAGCTAGCCATGCGGTTACGACCAGAGTAAACCGCATGAGAGAATCCCCCCCCCCCTGGGGGTGGAAAAACCACCCCACATTCCCACCTGTCTACATGGGTTGGTTAAACCGTTTTAGAGTGTTGAGCCCGAAGATTTGAGGCACCTTAACAGTACTCTAGGAAGACACCTCAATTCCTTGAAGCTACCCCCATACTACGATGTAGTGCTGTCCCGCATTCGTCCCAGGCTAACCGCAGTAATACCTGAGAGCCGTAGTGCCCCCCGTGTAAGGCTCCGGTCGTTAGACGCCATTGTATTCATGGGAACTTAGCCGCCAGTCCCGGGTTGTCATACTGACCCAGACCCCGATACTGACTTGTCCAGCGGGACCACAAGGAAGTGTACCAAACCTGTTTCCCTACGCACCTTCTGGTCCATGATGCGCCCCCACCAATTTGGCCAACCTCATTGAGGATGACGTCATTACTGCCTATAACGAATGACCCTAATATGCCATAGTTACTCCCGCCAATGCCCAGGAAGTAACCTGGTACTCATTTCTGTTAGAGGCTGAGTCGACCCCAGGACCATAGTGCGGATGGTAGGATTAGGTAAATTGAAAAATTCAGTGACCTCATCGAGAATCGACCCCGCCTCAACCAACTACGCTACTGCGTGCTCCCAGAATACAGACTTATAAATCTGAAGGGTGAGGAAGATATGAATTTGGAATTTATGGGAACGCCTGATCGCTTCCGTACCCGTTAGTAGCTGTAAAGTTTCGGCCACACAGAGCGCTACGCTATGTTCGCTACGTACGCTGTGTACACTCTGCGACGCAGGTAACATAGGGAACATAGCGTACGTAGCGTACAGAAGTCTGTGTGGCCAGTCACATTGGCAATAAAGGAAGATATTTTTCTGTTCGCATAGCGAACATAGCGTACGTAGCGCTCTGTGTGGCCGAACCTTAAGCAGAGTTCGGGATCCTGGAACAGAGCCCGCTCGGAACTGCAGCTTCCAGAAGGGTTACAGCCTCCTGTCCCATCCACTGGCTTAGTTTAAAATGTAGGAGGTTTCCAGAAAGTACATCTCCCAATTAACTGCCGCTGCTGAGCTGCTTGAGACTTTAAATCCCAAACTGAGCTCTTGAGAGCATCATGATCAATAGTGGCGAAAGCGTGGGTCTGTACAACGCCCCCTCAGAAGTCATGTGCGCTTTCTACTCGCAGATATCGTGCTTCCAAAGCTGTACCGCTTTGCTCGAAACTCACAGTTTTACAGGAAGTAGGCGTGTTTGTGTCCTAACAGCTAGAATGGGCTTCTCAGTGCAAGAATATGACCATCCACCCTATCTCGTCTTGTAACATAAGGATTACATTAGTAATTACTCTCAACTAATATAATAATCGGCCACATTTTCTTCAGTGTACTATCTTGTATATTCTTTAAGTGCTGATAATATTTTGATGAGGATATTTTCAGTGTAATAGACTAAAGACAGGAGGCGGTTTACAGTTGATTGTACATTTTATACGTGGGAGATAGCGTCAAACATCGGCTTCAGCACAGCATTCGATGACATGTCGGACTGGAAAAGAAAGCGCGAAAAAGCAGGGACAGTTACTAATCCGAAAACTAAAAACTAAACTCCGTGGTTTTAGTCCGCAAGTGAACTATACCGACCGATCGACCGCCGCTTGTCTGCGAAGTGAGTGCCAAATTTAGCCGATAGAGGGTGTCGCGTGGTCAGCGCAACGAATCCCCACGGCCGTTAATTTCGGTTTTCTAGACCGGAGCTGCTATTTCCTTGAAATAGCTCCTCATTAATCCTCACGAGGCTGAGTGGACCCCGTTCCAGGCCC